TCTTAATTTGGGTCTCAGCTAGAACATTATTGGTGTAGAAAAATGCTACTAATTTTTTACTTTGATTTTGTATCCTGAAACTTTACTCAATTTGTTTATCAGTTCCGGGAGACTTTTGGCAGAATCTTTAGGGTTTTTTAGCTATAGAATTACATTGTCAGCAAAGGGATAGTTTGACTTCTTCTTTTCCTATTTGGATGCCTTTTGTTTCTTTCTCTTCTCTGATTTCCTTGGCTAGGAGTTCCAGTACTGTGTCAAATAGAAACGGTAAGAGTTGGCTTCCTTGTCTTGTTTCATTTCTCAATGGGAATGTTTCTGGTTTTTAGAATGTTCAGTATGCTGTTGGCTGTAGGTTTATCATAGATGGTTCTTACTATTTGGAGGTATATTCCTTCAATGCATAATCTGCTGGAGGTTTCTACCATGAAGGGATGCTGGATTTTATTGAAGACCTTTTCTCCATCTATTGAGATGATCATATGGTTTCCATTTTTGATTCTGTTTATGTAGTGAATCACATTTATTGATTCAAGTATGTTAAACCAACTTTGCATCCCAGAAATAAAGCCTACTTGATCATAGTGAATTAACTTTTTAATGTGCTGCTTTTGATTCAGTTTGCTAGTATTTTGTTGAGGATTTTTACATATGTGTTTAATCAGGGATATTGGCCTGAAATTTTTATTTTTTGTTGTGTCTCTGCCACATTTTGGCATTAGGATGATGCTGGCTTTGTAGAATGAGTTAGGGAGAAGTTCCTCCTTTTCAATTTTTTTTTTGAAACATTTTAGTAGGATTGGTATTAGTTCTTCCTTGTATGTCTGGTAGAATTCAGCTATGAATCCATCTAGTCCAGGGCTCTTTTTAGTTTGTAGGTTTTTTTTATTACAGATTCAATTTCCAAACCTGTTATTGGTCTGTTCAGGTTTTCACTTTCTTCCAATTCAGTCTTGGGCATTGTGTGTTTCTAGGAATTTATCAATTTCTGCTTGATTTTATAATTTGTGTGCATGGATGTGTTCATAATAGTCTCTGAGAATCTTTTGTATTTCTGTGGGATCAGTTGTAATATCATCTTAGTCATTTCTTATTGTTCTGATTTGGATTTTCTCTTTTTTTTCCTTTGTTAATCTAGCTAATAGTCTATTAGTCTTGTTTATAATTTCTAAGAACCAACTCTTAGTTTCATTGATCTTTTGGGCCTCAGTTTTATTTAATTCTCTGATTTTAGTTGTGAGAAAACCTCTCTCTCTTTTTTGGTGTATGCTATTCTAAAACCACAGATTTCTCTCCTTCCATTCTCAGCCATATGTCTAGAAACAGTCTACATTTATTGTCTCCATTTCTAACTTTCCTTTTGTTTCTTATCTCATGGCAATCTGACTTCCTACCCATCTCTGTCCCCTGGCCTCTGTGGAAACTGTAGCATTGAATTCGTCACACTGCATGGGACCTGCCTGCTTTCTTATAGTGTTTATTACAAGATTTAATGACCTGTAAGGGGTATTTATTCTATTTGTAGTACCAGTGCTTTATATATAAACATATATATTTGTTGTTGCTGTTTTCGAGATAGTGTCTTTATTGCTCAGGCTGGAATGCAGTGATGTGAACACAGCTCACTGCAGCCTCAACCTCCTGGCCTCAAGCAATTCCCCTGCCTCAGCTTCCTGAGTAACTGGGGTCACAGGTATATGCCACCATGTCTGGCTAACTTTTTTTTTTTTTGTATTTTTGTCTTATTTTTATTTCAGATTTCCCCTCAAGAAATAGTCTACTATTTATTTATTTATTTATTGGTAGAGATATGGTTTCTCTGTGTTGCCCAGGCTAGTCTTGAACTTCTGGTCTCAAGTGATTCTCCTGCCTTGGCCTCCCAAAATGCTGGGATTACAGGTATAAGCCACCATCCCTGACCTCTTTTTTTAAAGTTTAACTTCTTTATTTTGAGGTCATTCTAGACTCACATGCAGTTTTAAGAAATGACAGAAATCCCTTGAACCCTTTACTCAGTTTTCCCCAGTGATAACATCTTGAAAAACGATTGTACGATAATATTACAACCATGATATTGACACTGATGAGTCAAGGTACAGTATCATCCACCACAGAGATCTCATATGTTGTGGGATTCAGCCACACCTACTTTCTTCTGCCCCACCCACTCCTTAACCCCTGATACCACTAATTTGTTCATTTCTATAATTTTGTTGTTTTGATAATGTCATACAGTATATACCTTTTTGGGATTGGGTATATCACAGTTTGTTCAATGGCTTACCTGTTGAAGGATATCCAGGTTGTTTCCAGTTTTCAGTTATTAATGTAGCTACTGTGAACACTATTGTACAGGTTTTTGTGACAATCTAATTTTTTTAATCTTTGGAATATATTCCCCAAAGTACAATTGCTGGGCCATGGTCAGTTGGTAGTTTCTTGCTTGGGTTTATGATAAATACCAAACAGTTTTAAAATAAATTTTCAGTAAATAAAGAAGTGAACAAATACTGTTACATTAAAATCTTTGGAGTGAAGATTGGGCTTGAATAAACTTATTTTTACAGTCTGCACAGGCAATGCTATTAATTACAAAAATTACATTCTAAATACTTTGAAACATACTGCAAAGCAGAAATCAGTAAAGCTTAAATGCGGGGATGAGCTGTATTCATTACTCTCTGAGTCAGGATTTTTTAGCCTAAAATGTGTTTATAGCAATAGTGAAGACTGGTTGACCAGAAATGATGTACAGACATTATACTATAATATTTAATTTCCAAATGGCCACACTTTGAGAAATTAGATCCAAAACCTCCACAAGTGATAAACATAGCTTGATACTCAGTAATGTATATTAAATAAGTAACCACATGACCTTTAAAGATGTTTTTCTATTTTTATGGTGGTCCATTACAGTGTTCCATTTTAGGGTGCTCCATCAGAGTCCTTGCCTTGGTTACATCATATCATCCCAATGCCAAGCCCATCTTTTCATTTGAAAGTCACAGCCAGCATTTACAATAAGGGTCTTCGTGTATCATAGAAGGAACATGTGCTAGACCCAGATAGACGTGAGGCTGAATCTGAACAATATAACTTACTGGCAAGTTATAGAATTTCTCTTGGCCTTGATTTTCTCATATATTACATAGGATAATTGTAAACAACCTAAGTAACTTGACAGGGCTTAAGTCACATGAAATAACATATACAAAGTACCTGGCATAGAGAAAGCATCAATGATATTCAGTTCCCTTCTTCTATGGCATTTTAAATTTTCTGAGGAATAAATTCCCAAGGTTTATTTATAAATGTTGCTCATGTTTGTAATGGGTTGTTACAGATCATTCTTATCCAGGAGATTTAAACATGTTAAGTTTAACAACTCAGTCAGATCCAAGGAAATATTCAAAGGCAGTTGATACAGTTTCCACTGGGCCTTCTTAAAATTAGAGATAGATATTAAAATAAAGAAAAATAATCTATACCTCATTAAAAATATTTGCATTTTGGGGTACAAACCCTATCTTCTTATTACTTGTTTTCTTATTTTTTGGTATGAATATATATATACCACAATTCACTTCAAGGAAATGAAGGGATTGTTTTTTATTTTGGGCTGATGTATTTTTATTTTTAATATTAAATGCTTTCAGAAACAGGACCCTCATTTGCAGAGCCACCATTTGTCAGAAACAGGACCACCATTTGTAGCATTAAAGAAATGTCACCTTGAAGAATGGATAAGAACATGCCTCAGGAACTACTTATAGTAGAAATCACCTCTTACAATAGACAGGAATAGTAGATTACAGTCATCTCATATTTGATTTGAACTTATAAAACTGAGGAAGTTCAGTGGTGGCTTTATCTTCTATTTGCTATATAAAATTTAGGAAAATATGCATAAAAGATGAAAATGCAAGTTAATGTAATGTTTCTGTTTTCAATGGCATTTTGAATTATTAGGAGACTATCAGAGAAAAGAATAAGAAGAGACATTTATCAAGAATTTAAAGGAGCTACTCTATATTGAAAGGTGACTGGACACATCTTTAATAGAATTATTTTACTCTATTGTGGCAAATTGAGAAATAGGTTGAAATAATGACATAAAACAAAAAAAATCAAGGTTGGTTTTGCTCTTTGGAGGACCAGGTGCCACATGAACCACAAGGCCCTTCCTAACTCACAAATCATCTCCATTAGTCCAACACAGAAGCCTAAATGATTGTTGTGTCTTCAGAAATACCTCACTAAAATGTGTTCAAATTACTTTGATGATGAGATCAATTAGCAAGTGTCATGAAATCATTTGTCAGATTAGCTAGTCACTACCTAGAGTAGAACCCTGAGAAAATAAAGTTTGGTTTTGTTGGTAGTGAGGGGGATTGTGGGAATTTTCTAGCATGAAGCATTTATAAGAAAGAAGGAAAGAGGAGCTGAAAAAGAGGGTGGGAGACAGGAAAAAGGAAGCAGGAGCATCATAGGATCAACTGACTGTAAACTCTTGAAAGACAGGAAATATGGTGGGTTCACCATTGTATGCAGGTTAAATATCACAGAACCTGGAACATAGCAGGTGCACAAAAATATTTATTGAACAGATGAAAGAAAGTGTGTTCTAAAATGAGGGCTATTAACGATTCTGGAAGGGGAGGAAGGAGAGTGTTACAAACTAAATTTATATAACTAAGTTTCCTGGCCCTGGCCCTGGCCCTGCTGAAGATTGTAGAGCTATAGTATGAATATAAGAGGTTGTGGAATTTCCTTCTATAAGATCTTAAAAATTATGTAGATTCTTACATATCTGGAAGGGTTCCTATGAAAAACAGAACAATGATCTGAATAATCTGAGTAGTCTCTGGTTCTTCCTTCCTTGGACGTTTGATTTGTTTTGATTTTTAAATGTCAGGAGATGCAATGCAAAATTATATATTGCCATCATTACTACCATTCAAATAACAAAAATAATTTATTGAGTTTACTGTATGCCAGACAATTTGCTGAGTATGGAATCTCCACTAATGAATTGTCTCATTTTTGTTAACTCTGAGGCTTTGCCAGCTCTTATACAGTCTTCCTGCAGATGGCACTCTTCTCCTGCAGAATTGTCACCTCTTGTGCTCGGGACTTGAGCTTTACACTGAGATAGGGATGAGAAACGAGTGATTTTAAGGTTGGTACACTATGATTAAAAAATACACATATTATCTATACATGAATTGAAATTCCTGAATGTGAGTAATCCAGCCACTAAAAATTTAGAGTTTTAAAAGTACAAAACTTAGTAATTAAATTCACATAATGTTTCAATGGCTTTGCAGCCTTGCCTTTCTCTTTATCATAGCAAAATATAATTTGCTGTTCTATTTTCTGCAGAAAAGCTGAAACAAAGAATGTTTTTTGAAAGGCAAAAAAGATGGATAAATAGCTCTTCCCCTTCCCTGTGCTTCACTTTGAACTTCCCTCTACCTCATCTCTGGCTCATTTTTCCTCTTTTGGAGGGCCCAGGGTGATTGTTTGAGCTTGGGGAGATAAATAGCTGGTGAAATCTGTCTGGTTCCTTGGCAGGCCACCATTCATCAGGCTCACCTAGTCCAGCTGGGTCTCAGCTTTTCCTTCCACAATGTGGCCACAGGTAGTGCTGAGTACAGGCCTTCAGAAACCTGCAGGTATAGATAGATAAAGCAGAATTAACAGCATGCCCAGAAATAGCAATTTTGTTATTACTGTTCCATGGTATTTACAAAGACACTGTTTTGTGCTTGCATTGCTTTCTTTATGCTTCTGAGCAAATGTATAACTCTTATGTGGCTCCGGCAAGTCAATACGTCACATATAGTGACAGCATCTAGTTGTCTGGCACACATGTGAAACATTTGGAATTATATGGCTCAGAGCTCTGGAAGTGATATTACCTATTTTATCAGACCTCTTAGTATAGCTCTATAAGGCACTGCTTCTTAGAGTATGATCTATTTTGATCATCTGCTTCTGATTCACTAGGGTGTGTGTTAAGAACAACAACAGGCCAGGCGCAGTGGCTCACGCTGGTAATCCCAGCACTTTGGGAGGCCAAGGTGGGCAGACCACGAGGTCAAGATATTGAGACCATCCTGGTCAACATGGTGAAACCTCTATCTCTACTAAATACACAAAAATTAGCTGGGCGTGTTCCTATAGTCCCAGCTACTCGGAAGGCTGAGGCAAGAGAATTGCTTGAACCCGGGAGGCGGAGGTTGCAGTGAGCCAAGATTGTACCACTGCTCTCCAGGCTGGTGACAGAGCAAGACTGTATGTCAAAAAAAAGATAAACAAAATCTTAGACCTACCTTTCTTCCCAGCTACATAACCAGACTATGAAGAATTAAAAAGAAACTGCAGTCATTCTTGCCCTCACTACAAGTTTGAGAACCATGAGGAAACAGTGCTTTCAGGAGCCAGCAGTTCCTTAAGCACAAATTAAAAGTCTGATTTTAGTACTGGCCTCCAACTACTATCCTTTTCCACTTGGGGATATTGTTAGTGCTCTCCCACTCTCTTTATTCTCAATTAATTAAAGCATGTCCCCAGAGTCTTTATTCAGTTAAAGATGATCTGAGAATCCCCCTAAGTTCAGTGCATTTTAATAAGGTCTCCACAGCTTCCTTAAGGGAACTCTACATTCCAGCATGCTTCTTTCTTCTGGATTAAAGGCTGGAACAGTTGGGACCTCTTGTGTAACTTTGTCCTCTTTCTACCCCTACCTGTCTTGTCTTTTCTGGCCATCCTCTTTTCCTTCTTACTGGCAAGCAATGATTGTTTAAGATCTGATCCAGTCCTTCCTCAGAGAAGAATTCCTTAAATCCTCCTGGAAGAGGCGATTGAGCAGTCAGAACACAGAGCATTTACTGCACTGCTCCCTAACTTATTTCCTATCATCTTGGAAGTAGTTCCCATCTTGTTTGAATTCCTGGTATGAAGCCTAGTGCCTTGCAAATAGCGAATGCTCAGCAAATGTATATTGACTCACTGAAGGATTAAAAAAAAACACCTTTCACTTCTGTTCTTGTACAAAAATATAAACCAAATATTAATAAGTAAGCTCCTTGAGCATAACACCCATGGCTTTTTCATCTGTTAACATGAACAAATGAACTTGTGAATGAAAATGTTCTCTTTGACTTCTATTTCTATACACAAACTTGAAACACTGTGGATACTAAGGATAGGGGCCATATTTCATTCATGTTCGTATCCCTAGCTCTTAGCACAGTATATAGCACCTAATAGCACTTGCTAAATGTTTACTGAAATACAATTGAAGAAGCTATCCACGAATCACTCTATGTGACCTCATGCAGTACAGGAGAAAAGATAGCCCCACTTTTACATATGTGCCTTGAACATTCTCACAGAGAGTTAGAGGACTTGTCCTAGGTGCTGCAGCAAATTTAGAGGCGGATGCCATACTAGAAATCAGGGCTGTTGAGGTTTAGAGGAGTCGTGCCTTAGCAGGGCAGGTGGAAAAACCATCTCTGTTTGAGCAGACTGTGATGCAACACATCGTTGGTAGGGGGCAATGCTGGCACACAATGTACATGAAAGAGGCAGACTTTCAGAAGAGGAGACTTGGGCAAGTTTAGGGTATCCTTTGGAATCAACTGATGGAACCATGACTGGTGTAAGAGCAACGATGACCGGCACAAGCACCAGTACTATCACCACAACCACCACCAATATTGATGGACATTTATTTTATGATTGGTGAGTGGCAGCACTGATTTTTTAGAACCCAATTTTTCTGATTTTTAGTTTGATATGTTTTTTTGTTATACCACACTCTTTTTTAAATAGGGTTTTTTGTTTGTTAAAATGTTATATATTTTCCTTATAAGAATGGTGTATTATCTTTACAAAAATTAAACTTAGAGACATGGATGTTTAAGAAGGTAAACATTTTTCTTATTCCAGCCCTTTCCCATACACAAATAATCTTTTTAAAATAGTTTTTCCTGTGCATAAGCTAGTATCTATTTCTTTAATAGAAATTGGAACATATTCTAGATAAAGCTTAAAGCTTTAGGCAGAGTGGACCTAGACTTGCTCAATGAACTAACTGGACTAATATGTAACTTTATGCATGGCTTTTTTGGACTATTGTATATGGGTTAGTTTAAATGTTGGTCCTACAGTTCCTAACAATGGTTTTTCTCCCATTTTTTAAGATTAGCATTATTGTGATATTAGCCCTTTTAATTTGTAACACATGGTGTGATTCAAACCACTGAGTCTTAGCATCTATCAGTGATAAGATCATTCTTTTTAGTGATAGAAGGATGGTTGCCAATAATGTGGCAGAATTTGGCTTTTCATTTTTATATTATTAATGACTGCACAAGATAAATTATGGGTAATATATTTTTTTCTACTTAAGCTTCAGCTAGTTTTCTGAAGTCTCTTTTAAATTTCCACATCAAATTAAACCTAAGGAGATCTTGGATTTTCCAAAATAAAACTTTTCTGTATCCCCAAAGTTTATATTTCAAATTATTTATATAGGACTAGCTAATGTTGTCTTCTTACTCCTTGTGATGTTGAGGTTGTATGTTGCAATCATAATGGTGGAAAGGGCAGTCTGGGGTAAGCAGAAAATAGTACCTAGTAGATCTTATCTCAGGAGTACCCTGGCCAAAGGGCAGTCACTTGTTTTCTCAGATACTGTTCTTGATTCTGTTGATGTAAGGGTCTGGTTCTTTTTTTGGAACTCTTTCTCTTATTCTACTTAGAGCTATTTATTTTTTATTTCATTTCTTTTAATTATAATTTTTGTGGCATTTTTTTCTGGTGTATATTATGTCTTTATATATTTAATGTATCAAAATATTAACATTGTTTTATATATATTATCTATGCATGCACTATATTATGATAGTACTTATTTGTAATTTATAAGTAAGTAAATATACATTTGTGGTATTCAGTACATATGCCCAATGATTTTAGCTGATGATGGCGTACAAGAAAACATATTTGAGTCTACTCTTCAATATTATGTATTTCTTGAGGACACAGATTATTTCTTTTCTTCTTGATGGCCTGAATTGCTTAGGGCAATGTCTGGTCTTTATTAGGTAGTTAATAAGTATTATTGCCTGTCTTGCTTGCTGGATAGATGGATAAATGAATACATCATTTAATTATGCTTCTCTTTATGAATAGGAGGTAATTTTAACTTACCATTTAGTAAATACTTAAATGTACTAAGGATACAGCTGGGTAATTAAACAACTAGATAACATCTAGATGTTACGTTTGGATGTATTAGAAACTGATTCAGTTTGCCACATTTTTCAACAATACACTGGATTGATGGATTAACACAAAATAAATGGTGAATATGATTGAGAAATTTTATGTAACTCTGCTTCGAAGGATTCATCTGTGCTAAATATCTTCAGAATCACATTTAGGGTTTAGCAAGTAACCTGATCTTCACAAACCTGAAAGTTCGGATTTCTTTATATTTCTTCTCTCTTTGGTGAAAATGTCATGTGATTGGAATAATACAATGACATGATTAGGGATAAAGTAAGGGGAGAAGAAAAATTCTTGAAAGATTTGTGGGCCCATATTCAACTGACATTAGTCTTCTATTCCCCAGCTCATTAGGGTGACAGTGATGGGACTGAGTAGGAGGGAGCACTATGGCTTGGCAGTGACCATCTGCCAAGTGGTCACTGCCAAGCCATAGTGCTCCCTATACAGTCCCTCAGATCACATCTCCTTTGTTTCATTTTCCCCTACCTACTGTCATTCTTGATATCCATTTTCACCACTGTGCAAAACCACTGTGTAGTGCATTGTAACACTTACAATATACTGTTGACCCACAACATGAAGGACAGTTCTCCAGGTGGCCATGGTTGGACCCACCCAGTTCTCTCTCTTTTCTTGTTTGTAGTTCTCAAGAGAAGCTGTAGAATATGCTGGGAATGCAACATTTTAAGATAAGGAGGGACCGACCTGAACAGCTCATTGTGCCAGTCCCTTCTATAAACAGAATGTCACTTAGCTCAGCATGTTATATTGCTCCCGTGGTATAAGACCCAGGGCAGGCTGCCTGCTGGGGGGTCCCTAGCCTGTGGTACAAGTGGGGCACATACTGATAAGATTTTTTCTTCCCAAGGCAGCTTTTCTGAGCCTTGAGGGGACAGACTCATCACGAATCCTAGGCATTGTGTGTGTGTGGGTGTGGGTGTCTCTTGCTGCTTATCTGTAAGTAATAAATTCACTTCATGTAACTTGCTGTATGTGTGGGTGTTCTGTCTCACTGGACTCAGATAAATTGGTAGCCAGTGCACAGTGAAACTGCTTCACACACATTCCTGCTATCTAATTTGTGCCAGTGTATATGTAAATGCATGTCTTTGATGGTGGAGGTTAGTTGTCATGATGCTCACAGGGCAGTGTGGGAAGGACAGTGTAACACTGCAGGCTTTTCCCAGCTCTTTACCCAGGGGTGGCTTGTTTAGTCAGTTCTGCTTGCCACTACCCAGTCTGTTTGTTGGTGGGGGAATGACAGTTTTGTCTTCTTTAGTTTTAACTTCTTTGTGATAGTCCTCTCTTCTGCAAATAGATAGATTTTTTTAAAAAGACACATTGACTAATAAGCCCTATGCTTTTC